GGATTGAATATTTATCTTCATCTGTTGCTACCTGGGAAAAGTATACTGTCAATATTGATATTAACTGAATATTTTTCTCTTTTCACAAATAATCAAACTGACATACAGCATTGAAGCGCAGTAAGCAAAAGATAACAACGGCAGGATTTTTATCTCTGCTTTTTGACAGTTTAATTTTTAGTTATATAAACGGAGAGGTTTGACGACTATTTACATGAGTTTATACTTTTGTTTAAAACAATTTGATTTATAAGTACACTGTTATGAACTCTTTACGTCAACAAGAAGACTTATCTTCTCGTTTGAATTGTTTTATGTCGGGACCTTTTATGGCTTACTATTCGGTATGGATTTTTCATTGTTGAGGGCCGTATGGTGACCTATGGTTGCTTTCATCTATGTCATTTGGTCTCTGGTGGATAGTTGTCTCGTTTGCAATCATACCAGATCTTCTTATTTTAAATTCATGTTATTCTGATTTCTTTTCTCAATAAGATTTTGAATATTTGTATTCTGTTTAAACGGTCATTCTATTCTTTTTTAATATAAAAAAAAAACGATTATTAAAAACTTAATATTAAATAATCTGGAACCAATATATTAATTTATTCGTCCCATTCATAATTACAGTTAGATTAATTTTGTTAATATACAATTGTTTAGTATCAGCAATTGCCAAAGATATAATAGCTATTTTATCTATGATGTCAGTGAATGTTCTCAAATAGCTACGTTCGCCGCGACAAAAAAAAATGTATACTAGTATCATCTGTTCACCGGCCTCCAGCACACACCAAGAGAGAGAGAGATGTGTATTATCGGTTGGTTTATTATTGGTTGCCAAATGTTAGGGTCAATCGGATAGCCCCCTGTCACGTATGATATCATTAATTATCGCGGGATTTAAACTAAAACGCGCATATGATTTCGTGATCAGGGTTGATAAGTCGCTGATCTGAAATTGGTGTAGAAAGAAAGAAAAAGAAAGAAAGAAAGAAACATATATATATAGCAATCAATCATGTTTCACAGGGGAAATGCTGATACAAATGTAGTCTCATTAACGCATAGCCAACATCTATTTTTTTTTTATTAATAAATCAAGTTTTTACCTCCCCTTTTGAACTTTTTCTTTTACTTATTCTAAATTTATAATATTAATAAAACCGTTTCTTATAGAATGAGATGCTCAAAATTTCAAATTTAAATCGTGATAAACGTCCGTAAAGACCCGTATTGGCCCAAAAAAAATTATCATTAAAGTAGCAACACAGTAAAAAGGTAAAACTTAAACACTCAACGAAGGAACCAGTAAGCCCTGAAGATCATAAAAGCATTTTATTAAAATCAAATATGTCAATAAAGGTTTTGATTTTATAAATACTGCCGGTATTCTTAATGATCATGCTGTAAAAGAACAAATTCCTGGTTATTTTGATAATACTGAGCTCCCTCTTATTTGTTGTTTACAAAAAATCTACCCAGAAATATATTTTTGATTATAGCGAAGTGTGTAAAGATGTGATAATACACCTACGTCATGAAATTGCATTAATTCCGAATACATTTATGGCCCCAGTTCCTATGTTATAGGAGACCTGAACATCGTCCACGACCGAGAGTTGAAATCATCCCTTAGTAAAGGACCTACATATCCCCCCCCCCCCCCCAACTCAATTATTAATTGAAATGAGTGTCGTAACATCATCCACGACTAACTTCATCATTACTGTATGAAATGAATAAAACGAGAACAACTGACAAAAAATCCTTAGATTCTTTTTTTTCAATTCAGTAATGGAAAAAGTTGATATTTTAAAGAACTTTTAACTCCAACAACCATAATAGCCCTATTTCTCGTATCAAACATAAGCTAAAAGATCTCGACAAGATGTTTTTATCGTCCCGGCTGATAAAGCTGCCAATTGCCAATTATATCATTATTGGTTGACGTAAATTTTATTATTGAGGTTCTGCAAAAGGAAATCACGAATTAACCAACATTCCAACTGACTCAATTTTCGGAAAATGACATCTGTAACAAACATGAACTTTTGGCTACCTCTTTACAAGCTGAACCGAATAACATGATAGTTCCAACTATGTACTGGCTTCCGAAGCACAAAAACACCTTACAAATATAGATTTATTTCGTCTTCAAACCATTGTTCCACTACTAAACTGTCTATTCTACTTATATTACACTTGGTACAATAAAAAATCTGGTAATAAATTTTTCAAATAAGGCTTACGAAAATAGTGGAATTAACTTCTTTTGGAGTGTCAAAAATTCGTTGGAAGTACTTGATAAATTGCATGCTCGTATTGGTGCTTTCGAATCTGTTCAAAGTTTTGAATTTTCTACTCTAAATACCACTTTGCCTCTTTGAAGAAAAAAATCACATACCTAATTAAATGGGCATTTAAAAAGTCAGAATGCCAATATATATGTTCAAACTCTTTCAGGACATTTTGTAGTAACAACAAACAAAAGAACTATGTCAATTGGACCTGCTTTGATATGATAACTGCACTGGAATTTTTACTAGATAACATTAAAACTTTTAGATATATGGATGATACTATTGGCTCTCAATGATAACGACTTCAGCATGTACACTAAAAAGATTTACCCTGTTGAACTTACTTTAAACAAAGCTAATACTAACAATGAACACTGCCCTTCCTGGATTTTGATATCTATATCTTTAACGGGAAGCTTAATACTAAAATTTACGATAAAAGAGATGATTTTCATGTATGTAACAACGTATTTTATTTTAACGACAGAAATCCTTGTTTTACCGAAAGATTATTACACCAGCTAGGATGATTTTCATGTATGTAACAACGTATATGATTTTAACGAAAGAAATCCTTGTTTAACTGAAAGATTATTACACCAGCCAGGGTTTTCTATATTACAAACTTGTCAAAACTTTTACAAAATTATATAATCGGTACAAGGACATCATTCGTAAATATAAATCAACGTGAAAACATCTTATACGTCCAGGTATTTCACATCCCATCTTTTATGGTAATATTCTATACAAAGCACAAAAATGTCGTCATTCACCTCAAAAGCTAACCAAACATTTAAACAGACAAATGCAGAAGGGATAAAGTTATGATACTGTCGTCAAGTCATTAAAGATGGCATGTTTTAGAATTGATATTGATTCACTCGTAGGGTCTTTGCATCGAAAATAAACATATTTATTTTAAATCAAGTTGTTGGTATAATACGGGTCATGTTCTTCTCGTATAATTTATGATGGCATGATACTAAATCCCAAATTGGAGGGATTGTGCTTGATTTTCATATGATGAAGGCATGTCAGTGACTGCTAGTAGTCCTTTGTTAATTTATGTTGATCATTGTCATTTTGCTTAGTTTCTTCTGTTACCCATTCTATTGGTGTGTGTTTGTTAGTCTTGTGTGGGTTTTTTTTCTAACTTTGGTTCATATATATGTTTCGCTGAACTAGTATACATTATTGTTTAGGGGCTAGCTGAAGCCCTCCTCCATGTGCGGGATTTTCACGCTGCGCTGAAGACCCTTTGGTGGCCTTGGGCTGTTTTCTACTCTTTGGTCGGGTTGTTGTCTCTTTGACACATTCCCCGTTTCCATTCTCAATTCTTCATTATATAATGTAATGATGTCGCAAATTATGTCATTATTATCAACTATACAGTAAAAATATTCACTCAGTACAGATTCAATTCCCCCTGATTGAATATGAATAAAAAAAAAGAGATATGGGTGAGAAAGAAACCAAACGACATACAATTTTGATGGACACCAACAGGTCAATAAACGGTCTTCTCTGAAATGAAAAAGAAAAATTGCCTACTGGAGAAGGGGACAATACTCTAGAAACTATGCCTACGTCATTATACTGGTACTATACTTTCCTATATTTTGAAGATGTTGAGCCTGACAACGAAAACAAACAACTATTTAAGTCTTAGATGCATGATTTTTTATTAGTTGTTATTGGTTTTAAAGTAGCTGTCAGTAATTGCGAGTACGCTCAGATCTGTACTTATTGTCTTTTTGTTGTGGGGATGTATAAGTACCCGTCTACGTACACTCTGTGTTTTTGTTAGATGTATTTCTATTTGTATCCATCTGATGAGTTAAGCCTTTTTCAACTGATTTTATAGTTTGTTTTTATGTTGTACTGTTACATCACTGTCCCAGGTTAGGGGAGGGTTGGCGCCTTTACGTGTCTGTCCTAGGTCAGGAGCCTGTAATTCAGTGGTTGTCGTTTGTTGCTGTTTAATATATTTGATTTTCGTTCATTATTTTGTACATAAATTAGGCTGTTAGTTTTCTCGCTTGAATTGATCTACATTTGTCATTTCGGGGCCTTATATAGCTGACTTTGCAGTATGGGCTTTGCCCATTGTTAAAGGCCGTACGGTGACCTATAGTTGTTTCTGCGTCATTTGGTCTCTTGTGGAAAGTTGTCTCATTGGCAATCATACCACATCTTATTTTTATAACCATATACAGATACGGAGTGCTTAAGTTAGTCTGTGTCATGCTTTTAAAATGGTATGTAATTATTACATGGACACTAACTTGCATGTGTTTTATAGGAACACGTATACCACGTATTAAAGGACTTCTGCAAAATACATAATTTGTATGATATTACACACTATATAGAAATAAGAAGAAATAGTATGATTGCAAGTAGATGTAATCAACTAAAGGCCACGCATTCTTTTTAATGTAAACTGGACCATATTCTTCAAAGTGTTATGAATATGTTGAAAATAAAGTGCAATGCGGAGTGAGAACGACTTAATATGATTTTGTGTATATTTTTGTGCGAAATATACAGTAAACTTGTTCTAGTGCGAAATGTTGTATACTTGTTTTGTGCGAAATACTATTCTGCGTGTATTTGTACGACATACTGTATACGTGTCTTTGTACGAAAAACAGGATACGTGATGGCACAGGGCAAGAGACAGCAACTTGAAAATAATAATAAAAACATTTAAAGAACAAAAACAGTCTTCAACAACAGACAAGTATCAATACAATATGGTAAGCTCTTTATTGCCCCGAGTCTTAATCGTGTAATTAAATTAAAAAGAATCTTTTAAAGATCTGAAATAAACGTGACTAAATTCTCAAAAATACCAGGCATAATTTCAATATGACTTTTTTTTTCACTTGGTGTTATCTCCGTCTTGTTCTGGTTTATGGTGTCATTGAAAACTACTGCTGTACGTGATTTTGTGAGGAACACTTCTGTCTGTGACCTTGTGCAAAACACTCCTGTTTGAAACATCGTTGTACGTATTCTTTTTGCAAACTACTGATATACGTGTCTGTTTGCAAAAACATGTTCTACCTTTTTTGTGCGAAATATTGTTATATGTGTCTTTTTCCGAAATACTTCTGTACGTGTCTTCGTGCGAAATAATGTTACACGTGTTCTTGTCTTTTGGCGAAAGGTTGCTACATCTGTATTTATGCGAAATAGCGTTGTATTTATCTGTATGCGAAATACTTCAGTATGTGTCTAAGTGTGAAATATATTCATGTAGCGTTGTACCTGTCTCTACGAAAATTGGTGTTTCACGTGTCTTTGTACGGAATACAGATGAAGGTGTCTGTTTGCCGGAAATAGTGTTCAGTGTTTTTGCAAAGTACTGCTTTACCTGTCTTTGTGCAAAATAGCGTTGTACCTGTCTTTGTGCGAAATAGCCTTGCGTCCTGATTTTTACTATTTTACTACAACAAAGAAGGAAAAACAAATATAACAGACAAAAACCACTAGATTAGTTTCCTGGCTACACACAACAAAGGTTTAAGATATTTACAAGCGCGCTCACCTCCCCCTTTTTTTCCTAATCTGGGACAGTAGTCTTAGCCAAAGAAAATCAACCCTAAATTATCACATTGGTGTTTGGTTTTTTTCAACATAATATCCAATTATGCAGCCTGAATTTTGATAACATTGCTTTACATTACCAGTTTTTCAATTTCATGGAAAAGAAAGGGTATTGCAGTCACCAAAATTGGGAGGAACTTCAATACACAAGTGAAAGTACCCAGTAATTGAAAAATTGTAAATAGATTGAGAATACTTGTACCTCACGCAGGATAGCAGTTATCAATTGATTTTGAATATTGAATATGCACCCATACACAAAATCTTCACACTGTGCTATGATAATTGCCATAATAACAAGGAATCTTGTGATTTTCCGTTTGTTAAAATTCTTTGAGTTGTCAGTAAATTTTAAAAAAAGCTTTGGTAGAACGTTGGTCGACGAAGTTTACTTTTCTATTGCTGATCCACATCATCTGAGTTAACATCTATTTGCAAATGACGCATGAAGAAAATGGTTACATCGGACTTTAAAAGAATAAATGTTCTTCTGAGTTCAAAGTTCAATATTAAGTAAACTGGTAGAAATAAGAGATAAGATAACAACAATGTAAAGTGGGCAATGACAAGAGGCGTATACGCACATTCCTCTGACGTTGTATCCGAATAAGTTATGTGTAATATAATTAACAAAGTAAGAGGCCATTCTACTGCCAACGTTATTATCAATATTCCTAAAGACTGGCATTCCTGCATGGTAGATTTTCTATTGCGAGGTAAAGCAGTAAGACTGTTAACGAATACCCTTTTGCGTCGGAGGTAATTAAAATGAATAGCGTAAATTAACAGAACCACACAAATTGACATAGTGACACATGGCACTATTTGCACGGCTATTGCACATAGCCAATAATAAAATGGAGCATAATAAGTAGTATTTATCCCGTTTCGATAGCTAAATGTACATGGTTCCCCAGATTCATGAACAAAATCGAAGAATTTATAGCTGTGTATTATTGATGCACATACATAAATTATAACAGTAAATTTAAGAAATCGATCCACTTTGTACCAAACAAGTGCACTGAACGGCCAACGGAAACAAAGAAATCTCTGAATACCATAGACAGCTAATTGCCATAAAGTAGCTGTATGAAATATATTTGGCAAAATAAATCCCAGGATTCGATATGCATTACACCAGTTTGGTGAAACCGGATCCGCCATATTGTCTCGCAAGAAGAAATAAAATAAAATCGGAAGTTGAGATACACCGTGTAGCGTGTTTGATATTGATATTCCTGTTGCCTGTACTGTAGATGCAGATCGATCGTCTTTGTCGTAATTGACGAGAATAATATACAGGACATTAAAACACAATGTAATGAAGATTACTATAGGTGCAGCTATACTATACAAGAGTTCGGCGATTTTATAATCACATTCTGAAGAAAACGTACCGTTTACGAATGGCGGTAATCCTAACAAGGCTTCCTCCATTGTTGTTAAAAGGTGAAAATTTTACTGATAATACGTATTAAAGTGTGATATTATATATGTCAATTGTAATAGGGAAGGTTTCCGCTGGTTTTCCTGTTGAATAATAAACTTAATATTAAAAATCACATTCTTTATGATTCAATATTAAGTAAACACGGGATTAAGGTTATACGTTGAATGTTAGCATCTCATATTGATTTCATTTTTATATAGTTAATTGGAAAGAGTGTGTAGATGAAAATCAGAGAAATGTAAGATCATTTGAATTGTGTCATCAAATCCTCTTACTCTTTTTTACAGGTGTGTATATGGAGATCTGCTGCAAATATCATCTGTCCTTCATTAAATTTTTTCTCCCCTATATTAAAAGTAATTCCTGATATGCTATCACTAGTTTTCCTTTATCCTCCTATTTGAATTATTTTGTTTAAAATCATTCCCAGTGTCATCACAGAAAACTATTTTTTTGTCGCCTTATAGTCCAAGAAGTAGTTTCGCCAACTTTACAGGTGGTGAAATCCTACTGAGATTGAAACTTTGGGATATGAACATATAGTTTTAGAAAATAGAGTGTTTTTTATGTCTTGGTTTTATCAGATACGTAGCGTATATTTTATTATGATATCCTCTTTATGACGATTGTAAAAACATTATTTGTTGGTACCGTTAATGTTATTACTACCACTGGGTCAATACCTATGCTGGTGGACTGTAAGTCCCTTCGAGTGTCAAGACAGCAGCCCAGAAAAGAGGACTTCGGTACTGGCATGCACATGCGGATATTGTTTTATTTGATTTTGATGTAATAAAGCTTTGGAAACCATTTAAAATTGAATTATGTATCTCACTCATGCATAGCAACTATGATGCCGTAGTAACAACACAATAAGCATTACTGCCATCTACTCTTCTCTCGTATTCTTGCGTGGAAATATTTTTTTAATCGTTACCATTCTGGTGTGTACCAAATAGTAATAAGAAATATCGATTGAGATGCAATATTATTAGCCTATCGGAAATGCTCTTCTGTGAAGGTATATTCCTAAAGAAAGACAACTAAAATATCGGCAAATAATGCATTTTTATTAACAAATAAATCTACATGAAATGTTTGAAACTATTTTATAAATCTATATATTTTAATAGTTATTTATAATTCTATATTGAAAGGCTCTAGTTTTATGTGACATTATTTTACAATTTATAACTGTATATTGTAGGTGAAGTGATATAACAAAACATATGATTTGTACGGTAGTAGTTATACAGACTACAAAATACTTGATTTATATATTTCAAAACGGATATAAAATCACATTTAACATTTACATTACAAAAAACAACAATCATCTAACAAGTTTATATAATTGAAAGGAAATTAATAGAATAAAATAACACAACATACAATATATCAGTACCCAATATAAGAAAAAAAAAAGAACGTAGAAAAAAACCAATCTGGAATACCATAGTCCCATGTAATCGAAAACTCAATAAAGTACCCATTATTGCTTTGTATGATTCTTACAGTGGAACATTATATATGTTACTGTAGTCGAGACTTTATTTTTATGAACTAAGGAAAAATGAGTTTTGATCAAGGAAACTTTATAAGAATTAAAACCTCGTAGAAGAACAAAGAGGTAATACTAGCCATAGTTTGTAACATTTGAATGGCAAACTTTTGGAGTTTACTATTTAATTTGCACGACCCGAAGCCACTGTTTCGCATAGTCAATGCTAAACACAGCATATTCTTATTATTACATTACCTGTCAATTATTACCAAAAGAATATAAGTAAAATCAATATCTCTTTTTATTCATATGTATACATTTTTTTCCAAACAGACGACAGTGGTTAATTTTTTACTTCAGAAATACTGCATTATTCCTTTTGTAATAAATGTTAAAGATAGTCGGAAGATACCGAAGGGATATTTACAGTGATAAGCAGAAAATAAACCGATAACGCCGTGGCAAACAACCTACAAACGACAAAAAGAAAAACCACAATCTACTAAATACAACATTAAAAACAGAAGAATGAGCAACACAAACCCCACCAGAAACCAAGGGTGATTTCAGGTGCCTCGGAAGTACTAGGAGATCTTGCTCCACATCTGAGACCCGTCGTGTTACTCATAAATGTATATTTCACGACGTTAAGTGATTAGACATTGGGCAATAGCGGATTGGTAATTGACTCTTATCTAATCCAAAAGACATCAACAAATAACAAAATAAACCCAAATCTTCTTGTTGTATTTAATGTTAACCTTGACAACGTATCACACATGATCGAACTAACTACATAAAATAATAGTTTTCACTGTCAAACACGACATGCAAAATAGAATTTTCATTTTCATTCATTAATTGTAATATCATAAAAATCATATTATATTCTCATAAGTAATAAAAGATAGTCAAAAGAATATTTGTTTCAATAAATAAATTACCATAAATAACACACAATATCGTTTAGACCCTCTGCATATTCAAATTCCCCAGGTTAAATAAATTTTTCGATTTTGACTACGTGAGTGAAACAAATACAAGAGTAATTATCTTCTTTCGGATAGCAGAAATAACATTTCCAACCTTTTTTTGAAGATTTCAATAAATACATCGTCAAAAGTCTATTTTACTATTTATTTTATTACTAGTTGGACACCTAATTGTATCAACTGAACAACTTATATAAAATAAGGAGTATGATTGCCAATGAGAAAGTGTCCATAGGTCAGAGAACAAAGATGTAAACGATTACAGGTTTCCGTATGGGCTAAGACAATGAACAAACCACATACTGTATTCTAAGCTATACAAATGAACGAAAAACAAAAATGACATGCAGCAACCAACGACAACCACTGGATTACAAATTGCTGGCTTGGGACATGCACATAAAGAAAATAAGAGTCCTGGGCGGCTGAGTGGTCTAAGTAGTTCAACTACTGTATCACTAGCCTGTCATCACTGAGGTTGTGAGTTCGATCCCCGCTCGGTGTAGCTGCGTTCGACTCCAATATTAATTGACTGGGATTGTTAGTTTTCCGGCCGATGGTTAGTGGTTCTCTCCGACTTCCTCCAACAATTAAAACTGACCGCCATGAAATCGCCGAAAGTGTTCAAAGTGGTGTGAAACAACAAACATCAAATTAAATCATAATGAAAGTGGCGGGGTGTAACATGTGTTTCAGAGCTCAAACGTCCACTTAAGCGTGTACCGTGGCCTTAATAATAGAATAATACATTGTAGTGTTATAGCAAATTAGCCAACTCGCCCTTTGAACAAATTTCTTTCAATTAATTGTATTCAATTTGATAGTCATCAATATTGGGAGGACCTTATAGCACAAATAAAAGAAAGATGTTAAAAAATTGTGAATAGTAGTACTCCAACCGCGATAGAAGTTAACAGCTGGAATTAAATATTATATATGCATAAACATACATAAATCTTCACACTGTGCTCTGATATTAATAACAGGTTTCAAAATAGGACCGCGTGGACCACAGATGATATAAATGAAGGACTATGTGATCATCTGTTTGTTAAATTTGTTTGAGTTGAAAGAACATTTAAAAAAAGCTTTGGTAGATCGAATGTTGGTCGAAGAACACTATTGCTGATCCACATCGTCTGAGTTTACATCCATTTGCAAATGACGCATGAGGAAAATAGTCACATCAGACTTGAAAAGAGCAAATGTTCTTCTGAGTTCAAAGTTCAGTATAAAGTAAACTGGTAAAAATAAGAGATAAGATACCAACAACGTAAAGTGAGCGATGACAAGAGACGAATACGCACAATCCTCTGAAGATGTTTCAGGGTAAATCAATTGTAATATAATTAACACAGTAAGAGGCCATTCTACTACCAATGTCAATACTAATATTCCTAAAGACTGACATTGCTTCATTGTAAACCTTCTATTGCGAGGTACAGCTGTGAGACTGTTAACGAATACTCTTTTACGTCGGAGGTAACTAAGACGAATAGCGTAAATTAACGGAACCACACAAACGGTCATGATGATACATGGCACTATTTGAACGGCGATTGCACAAAGCCAATGATAAAATGTAGTATAGTGAATATTGTCTATCCCTTTTCGATAGCTAAATGTACATGGTACACCAGAATCATGAACAAAATCAAAGAATTTATAGCTATGTATTATTGATGCGAAAACATAAATTATAAGAGTAAATGTAAGAAATCGATCCACTTTTAACCATACAAATGCACTAAACGGCCAACGAAAACTGAGAAATCTCTGAATACTGAAGACAACTAGTTGCCATAAAGTAGCTGTATGAAAAATATTTGGCAAAATAAACCCCAGTATTCTGTATGCATTACACCAGTTTGCTGAAACCGGATCCTCCATATTGTCTCGCAAGAAGAAATAAAAGAAAATTGGAAGTTGAGATACACCGTGTAGCGTGTTTGATATTGCTATTCCCGTTGTCTGTACTGTAGATGCAGTTCGATCGTCTTTAACGTAATTGACGAGAAGAATATATAGACCATTAAAACACAATGTAATGAAAATAACTAAAGGAGCAGTTATACTGTACAAGACTTTTGCGATTTTATAATCACATTCTGATGAAAACGTACCGTTTACGAATGGTGGTAATCCTAACAAGGCTTCCTCCATTGCTGTATAAATAAGTTATTGATTAAACATATTAAAATGTGATCCTTTCACGTCAACTATTATATATATATATATATATATATATATATATATCGTTATTGTTTAACATGCTTGTTTTCAGGTTGATTAATACACAAAATACAAAATCACATTCTCAACAGAATCCTCGTAAGCACACACATGCGGGATTAATCTTATAAGTTGAATGTTAGCATCTAGTATTGATTTCCTTTTTATATAGTCAATTTAGAAGCGTATGTGTAGGCGAAAAAAATGTTAATTTCTTACTCCTCTACTGAATGTATGGAGATTTTTTGCAATTGTACTG